TCAATGAAAGTATTCGAATATATTCGAATATTCGATAAAATAAATAAAATTTGGTTTATTTTAAATATGCATCATCCTATACTTTCAGGAAAGGTTTATCGTAGGTATTCTTATATTGGAAGTAAAATCGTATGAAGACTTTTGTAAGTTTTCAATAAGAAATTCCATTTAATATTTGTCAATGTTTGAAATAAATAATTGATTTAAATGTAGAAAAGTATAACTTTAACAAAAGATACGTGTTTTATAGTAGCTCCAACTAAGGAACCAGTCGTCTTACCAAAGGCAGGATAGTCGTATACTGTTCAGATTTCAATACGTGTAATTAATTACAATTATCAGCCTAATAAGTGATATGATTGTAATGTTTGATACAATGTTTTTTAAATATATACAAACACAAAGACAATTTTCCTGGGTAATTAACTAATTTCCTGATAATGAATATAAAATTCAGGATTATGTACAACCCGAGATAATCATTTATTCTGAAATTGAGCCCTTTACAATATTAATAACAGACTAATTCTATCGGACATTCATTTGAATGATCAATTAAATTTGTTTTGATAAGTACACTCTTCACGTCTTTTAAACATTCGAAGAACGTTTAAAATAAACTTTCATTTTGTTGTCCTCAATTCTAGATCCGATCGTATTTAACTAAAAAAAACTATGAAAGCACGTTTTGTATTATACATAAAGCATTATTGTACAATTCTTTAACTTAATTCTTTAATTTAATACATCTTTAAGATAAGAAAGTAGTGAAAGAAAAGGCGATCGAAATTGATCGCTAGTAAATTAAACAGGGCTTATTTCAGCACTGTTCTAATCAAAATTTATTATTCACAGTACATCTTTTTATGAAATCTGAAAAACACCGAATATTCGAATCTTAAATTCATATTCGAATATCAACTCATCGAATGAATATTCGAATGTTCGAATATTCGTTGACATCCCTAATAAATACTAACAAAATTAATGTCAGTTCAATATTTTAAAATTGAGATCCTTGAAAATTCGTTATAACAGATGTAAATTTCATCAATTTTTTACTTTCAGGGGACACAAAATCAGTTCGCTATAACCATAAATTTGCTATATCCGAGTTTGTTATATCCGTAAAATTTTACTAGGAATTGTTAAGAATTTCGCCAGGGATTGCAAACAAATTCGCTATATCCATAAATTCACAATATTCGTGTTCATACTAAACAAGTTTTACTGTAGAACTATCTCAAAATTACTACTAGGTATAATAGTCTCAAAGAATTCCACAGACAACAATGCTCACATGAGTCATCTTGTCCCTGCTGTTCCTTGGAAATTTTTCTTATTTTATTTCAATATCAAAACTCCATCTAGCCCTATGGGCTCAAGTGTTATCCAACTTGAACATGTTGAATCTACATTAAACATGACCCTCTGTTCTGAAAAGAAGATTTCTATAGATTCTCCACTATATATTCTATTTCCTCCACCCCACCCCAGGCCATGATTTGAAAAAAAAATCTGCACTATCTGAGAATGCTTTCACTATGGTATGACTAATGCTCTGCTATTCTTACAGTTTTTAATTATTTTTTTAATTTCTTTTTTTTCTCTTTTTTTTCGGGGGGGGGGGGGGGGGGGGGGGGGTTGATATAAATCAAGTAAATCATCTGTCATAAATTTGTGTCCTACACATTTTTTTCTGCAATCAGCAAAGATATTACATAACATTACATTACATAATCCACAATCTAGGACATGGGGATCAAAGATAACATAAGTTCCACATTATGAATTTGTCAGCACTGAAAAAAAAAATCAATCTTGATAACCTAGCTAGATACCACATAAACACACATTAAACACAAGAGGACTTATTTGTCCACAATGCTAACCTACATCATTTTGGCCCTGCTATTACATGTACCAAGAAAAAGATTTTTATTATTCATGTTTAAAACTCTCATCTCTTTTGGCTCCACCCTGGCCCCGGGGGGGGGGGGGGGGGGGGGATGATTTGAATCTACAATACATTGGGATCCTTGCAGTTTAATAATTACTATAAAGTTTTTAAAAAAAATTGAACTTCTATTGTTGCCAAACCATAGCCCTGGTAGCCATGACTTAACAATCTTGGGGATGCATGCAAATTAAAATGACTAACTTTTGCCCTATTATCTCTAAGAGGTTTTCAAAAATTATTTTTATCTATTCCTATGTAGAAATTTGACCCCTTTTGTGTGCCCCAAAGCCCTTAGTACCACGATTTCTTTCCTATATGAGGATGCTTTAATATTTCTATGACTAATTGTGGATACTTCAGTTCTTGACACACTCATCCAAGGTCTGGAGGCCTTGATTTCAATAAAGTTGAATATTCATCAATGATTCTTGCATATAAATATAAATCACTCATTGTGACCCTCCTATTCTTGAAAACAAAATTTTAAAAGAATTTTTCCCTATTTACTCCCATGTTAAACTTTGATACCCTAATGAAATCCCATGAACATGGGGTGGGCATGTTCTGAACAAACTTGAATGCTCTTTTCATTAGAAGTTTTGCATACTGTGCCCTTGCTATTCTTGAGAATAAGATCTTAAATAATTGATAGCAATTTGCTACAGAGGGGGGTGGGGTCTGAAAATTAATGTGTAAGTTCCACATACGTATATAAGTTATGGGGAAAAAGTAACACAAACTTACTAACAAATTACTAACAAAGTATATAAATAAATCTGGTTTACCCAAACTCCCTTGTCCCCTTCCTTTTCAAAAGAATAATCTACATGTACAACATCAAGTGGACTTACATACTCTACTAACTGGCATCTTGTACATTTTACCTGAATTTATTTTGTTACTGTAAGCAATATGACAAAGAAATATCTTTATTCAAATAACTATAACTTTGTGTTGTTGTTTTGTTTTTTTTTTTCCTCACAAGGAACAATATTTGCATTGACATTATAACTCATTAATTGTATTCTTTTTTTAATAAGTAACCAAAGGGACTTAACTTTCATCAATTTCACTTTCCATCGATATACTCTTTGTTCTCTCTCTTTCTAACTAAAAAATCAATCAACTACATGTCTAACTTACAAATAAAAATAAAAATACTATTTTGTATCCAAAAAAAAAAAAAAAAAAAATGTAGCAACCATCTATGATACAAAATATTTTCAACACCCTGTAATAATATCTTTTGATATAATTTTGTTAACATAGGAGAACTGAAAAAGAGATCAATTTTTACTTCATTATCTGCACCTATTTGGAACTTTTTAAAATATGTATAGTTTATAACTGTTTTGCCTAAGTTATATAGTTTAGAAGTTACAATATGCATTTTATAAAAGTCTATCATCTCCCATCTCTTATCTGTCACCATCAATTCAACCTGATCGGGTCGCACTCTATCATTTGTTTACAATACTTATCAAAGGAAAAAGATGTAATACATTTAAATCAGATAAAAGTATGTCTTGTCAGTCGTCACATATCATGTGTGATTGCCTTCTTTCTGAAGAATTTAGTACACATAGTATGTACGTCACTAAATCTTGTATAAATGTCCATCTCTGATATCTACGTTTTTTTTGGGGGGGGGGGGGTGACCATTGTTCCCCAGTAGTCAAATCAGGGTGTCATTTACCTCATTAAGGTCGTTAACCTAAACTTAAACCAGATCAAATTTTCAACCTCCATAAAAGTATATATGAACATGCTTCAAGTAAGAGAGCTAGTGATATACATACTGACATCTGTCTATACTATGAATCTCCTTAAAGTGGTTGTCATTAAGATGTAAACAACTTAAGTATGTAAAAAATACTTTATCTAAAACTTTATGATTGTAACAGTAAAAGAGCAATAGTTGGTGAAGTCAAAATAAACAAAGAAAATACATTCCAAGTCCTCTTATAAAACAATGTATTTAATGTCTGTAACCAATACTCTATATTTATTATTCATCCCAACATTTAACAACTGGGATGTAATGTTTAAATGACATTTTTTATCATCATATTAATTAGGACTGGAATTACATTGTGCAATTATCTGTAACATATGACGGTTGCTACAAAGTTGACTATTACTGAAACATCAAGCAGAGCACATCTACACCTAACTGACTGTATGGACACCCAGTTAGTACATTTATACTGAACAACACACTGCATCAAATCAGTCCAGTTAATTATTACCTTCCTTGGTATTAGACCTCTGTCTGTCATTGTCACTGTGAAAAATACAAGAACAATGCAAAGCAGAGCATTCCTATAAATGACTTATCTAATATTTTTTCCTCAATCAACTTAATTATACCCTCCTTGTCTTAATCATGATATCTCCCAACACATTAATCAAAGTTTTGTGGAAATTCTTGTTTTATTAATCAAATAATACAAACTTTGAGGTAATTTTCCAGTATGCTTACATCTAAAGCATGCTATTCAATTGAAGGAACCTCAAAGATTGAAGATTAATAATACATTTCCAAGACACATTATTTTTCCATATGTTATATTTTTTTCTAGCTGCCTATACCCAATAAAGCCACTGTTGCCATGCAAATATAAAATACAGGTGACATTTTCATGACACAATAAATGCAATTTCTTAAAATGAAAAACATTTATACAGGACTTAAAAGCATAAGATAATATGCATTGCAGAAAAGAAGGAATAAAAACAAAGATAGACATTTATCACATGCATGCATTGACATTACTTCTCCCATAAATTGTCTGACTTTCAGTATATATATACATGTATATAATTAGAAAAATTCTCTACATTGAGCAGAACAATTCTGGCACTACACTGAATGCAAAAACTACAGCAATTTACATGGTATTATAGAGAGGATGATAAGCTTCCCTTGAAACAGGGACATCTCATATACTTAATTATCAAAAGGTGGTAGCTAAAATAGAACTAAAAGAAAATAGACGAGCAATATTTTTGCCAAATATTGAGGTTGACATAGCAATACCTTTGATTCACTGCCCACTTGTTTAATTTCATCCTATATAAATTTAAGAGAAGCACATGTTAGTGCTGCTTATAAAGAACATGTTTTTTTAGTATAAATTAGTACATGTAACACCATATCAGCATGCAGCCCAGTGCAGCCGCGACCAATATATTATCCAGCTATATATATCCTGCCTAAAAAAAGAGAAATTTACCGTATGTCTCTGTAGAAAAAAAGAAATATAATATATAAAAATTATTCACAATATATCATAATCCTGGTTACCGTGCTGGGACGTCTTGTTGTTCTTCCGTGTGGAATTACTGTGATTTCTCTCTCACCCCCCGCCAAGGAAACAGTATGTACCTCATCCATATTGTATCGACAGTCTCAATAATCTCCCTACATTCTAACAACTTTACCTTATAAACTACCATCTAAGTCATCACTTGTTTAGAATCAAAGTACATATTTGAACATATATGTCAGAGGAGGGTAGTTGATAAGAACATGTTCAACCCCATTTCATAATGAACCTCCCTGTGGTAAGTGATCTTTTGCAGTTTATCAGATCAAGACAAATGAATGTTGACATAGCCTAGGGTTATCTAAGTTTTATGATAATGATTTGTAAATATCGTCATTAATTATACAAATATTATATCTACCATTCATATTTGAAATAGCCAACATTTTTGAAACATTCTTACCAAGACAAATCATAGTTATTTCTTTTAACAAGTTTAATTGAATTTTATACATTAAACCTATTAAAAATTAAAAACCTATGAGGGAGCAAAAAATCTAAACAAACAATCATTTTAAACATGAGTATTTATTCATTTACATGAATCATTAAGTAACATGAAGGATTGTTTAAATTATCTTTCAATCAAGAAGATGCAAAGCCTCAGTGAGTAACCAAAATATATTTTTAAAAAAGTCCCTTTATGTTTTTTTCCTTCACATAACAGCTTTTAGTGCTAAAAGTAAAATTTAAGCAGGAAAGATTTTTTTACATAGCAATGCTTTTTTTTTCTTTCAGAGCAGCAATTTTTCTGAAACCAGTATGCATTGCTCATCTGACATAATAATTTACACGAAACTAACTTTTCTTGACACAATTCACAGTTGTTATAATTTATCATTTGAACTTTATTGCAGAATTATTTCATGCATTGGTCTTTTAGTTTTCTACAGAAAATCAAATTTAATATATATTGTAAATCCAAATAATCCTGCTAGCTAAAAAGTAATGAATGAATCAGCTCCTCATCTATAGGACTCTAATTCTCCATGCTATATCCATATTGTATGTCATTCCATATAAGTCAAGTAACATACTTTTGACTTTATCATAGTATAAATCTATCTCTTACAATTAGAAACTCATTAACTTAATAGGTATACCTATTCATACAATGAAATGATAGTGTTTTCATTTTATATGAATATATTTCATTTTATTGAAAAGCCACAAATAGATGGTAAAATTTTGAATAGTCAAGTTTTATATAGATTACTTTAGTATAAATAAACCTGGCAGTTCTTGATCAGGCAGTACATATCAGTATTTGATTCATGAAATATTTCTCGACTAAGACTCGAAAAAGTCCCGAATCTGAAAGGTACTTTTTTTAATTCATTAAAAATATTCATCGTTGAAAAAACATTTTTCACTTGACAATACACAATTAGTGGGGTATATGACCTTCAGTAAATAGGAGCGCAGGAAAAGTCTCGAAGGTTACTGCACTCTCAGAGTGCAATGTGCCGAGTGAAAATCCATGCATGACTTAATCAAAAACAGTAATTTTCGAGAAAAAAATGGGTATAGACATTACCTTTACTTTTCTGTATCTTGTATCCTTTCCATGTTTATCGTTGCTTTTAGTCCCAGAAATGTCATTCGTTGATTCTGTGGTATCAGGGTCTGCGAGCCTTGCAGACGCCATTCCATCCAGATGAACTGTCATTTTCTCCCTAAAACGCTAAAGAGTTCCAGCTTTAAGGGGGAGACTACCGATAATTAATTAACAATTAGGCCTACTATAAAAACGCGCGAAATATAAACTGTGAATATTTGTACATTTACCAGCTGTTTTCTACTGTCCTTTCATACTTTTTTTAAATGATAAATAAAATTTAAATATTTTATCATAACTCTCATAGCCTACCATTTTTTTTCGCGATTATTTTTTTTTTTTTTACATTTTTCTTTGAACTAGACTAGATATATTAAAAATAATCCTTGTCTCGGGACATGGACAGATCTAGAGGGAGTCCGGACTCCCCTGGAATTTCTGGAGATATGAAATGTAGACACAGGTAAAGTAACTCAAAAATGACCTCGGATCCCCCCCCCCCTCAGTTTTGAAAACGCAGACCCCTGTTAAGTTGGTAGGAAAAGTCTTACATATGAACCTTAATAAGAAGTGAGGGAAAATGCCCCCCCCCCCCCCACACACACACACATGAAATAGTTTTTTTGGGGGGTTGGGGATACTTTTTTTCCTTTGTCAACAAAGGATGACTACACTATAAGGACATGCGAAATTTACGACAAAATAAACTTTTAAAACAAGCATTTTTCTTTTAATTGCAAGAACGGTCAAAATCCAATCTACAACTTTATGTAATTACATTTAACAAAAGTGTGTATTTACGAAGTTCGAAATTGTTTTTCAAAGACAGGTTTCATCACAATTTCTTGAATCTCCGTTCGATAATTTTTTTTTCTTTTTTACTGACCTCATACACATTCAGCGCATGTTTCTTTATAGTTCTACGTTTAACAGTAGTTGTATATTTGCATAAATAATGATGTGTCAAAAGGAGATTGATAGATAAACATGCGCTCATGGTTAAAAAGAGAAAAAAAACTGATTCTTCTTATATATTCGCTTTCTCTATTGTAACCAAAGGTCGTGACATGTTGTTAAGAAATAACTGTCTAATTTTTTTGGTTTCATGATGTGATCAATCGATTGGCTTGCGTGATAATTTGCATAAACGCCGAAGGCGTTTATGCATAAAATTATCATGCAAGCCAATCGATTGATCATCGTCATGAAACCAAAAAATCTGACAGTTATTCCTTATATTTACATGCTCTTGATTCTGCAAATTCACGTGCTACAAGCCCCGCTTCTGTCTCTATTTGTCCCGCCCCGCACGTGATTTTTTTTCTCCACGCCTATCGATGAACCAGTAGATTTATGTAGAAATAAAGTATTTTTACTATTTGAAATTTTATCTCGGACAAAGACATTGGAAATGTAAATATAATATTATAAATCACCATATGATTTCTTACCTCAGGTAACTTTGTGAATACTGCATTCCGTCACATGACTTGTAAGGTATGTTTTGTGCAAACAAGGACATTGTGTTCGAACACGTAAAATCTCCTTTAATAACATGAACGTGCTCATATTGTTAATTTCGTTTTGAAACCTTTTGTGCCATGCACAGAATGGAAAGGGAGATGGGAAAGATTATCACGTTCTTTTTTCAAACATGTCATTGTTATTTATCTAGTCTAATTTTAAACCCATTCTTACAATGTTAGGTCCACCTCTCATGCATACCTAATGTTCAATCAAGGGCAGGTAAGTGTAAATTCTCTATATTTGGAAAGAGTAAGGACAAAAAAAACGTCGAATCATTTTATTGTATCACAGTCTAAAATCGTTTTTAAGAGTTAAATTTGGTTCCAAATTGACAGAATTCTTTCAAACATAAACAAAAGTGAAATAAGGTTAAGATATAAAAGCAATTGAAGCAACCGAAAAAGACCCAAAGCCCGGTGTTAAATACAGTCACCTTTTTCCGTGTTGCACCATTCTGGTTAAAAAAATCATGTCGCTGTTATATTGGTTGGTAATTTTTTTTTAAATAATTGAGCGTAGATAATAAACAATGACTTCGTGATTTTTTTTTTCAATCTCCAATGCTGATTTGCTGGTTCCCCCCCCCCCCAACTTTTTGTTGCTGTAAGGTCGAGGACTGACAAAATCCAGGATTAAAGAACAAAAATGTACCCAAAAAGTAAGAGAAAGGTCTCTCATCCACCACCTATGAAATAGGATTTTCGAGTTCGGACTGTTGTTTTTTTTTGGGGGGGGGGGCACTTTATGGACAGAATACTTTTTATTAGGGGGAGGGGGCCCCTTTTAAAACCGTTGCTATAATGGACCTGTTGGGAAACACCCCCACCCTACCCTCGAGTATGTATGATTAAGTGTTACCAGAAGTTATCAGAAGTTCGGTCTAATGAATTGTCACGCTATATGTTGCACAGCAGGTGAGCTCCTAGAGTATCAAAATTGTTTATTTTTTGATGTATTTGTTTAGAGCATCTCTGACTTCCTGGAAGCTGAATAAGTAATTTTTTCCTTTTGTCAAACCCAAATAAATCGTACCTAAAAATTGCATCTGATGTCGAATGAAAATAGTAAACTTCATATGAAAATAAGTGATTCCAGGAAAATTATTGAGACCCCCCCCCCCTTTGCAGTAAGTTTTCTACTAAAAAGAGAAATTGGACAGTGTATTAAATCACTCAGTCTTTATAATTAATCAATCGAATCAAAAATTCCTTACATTTATTAGACAAAGATGAATTAAATAAACTCTTTTTTTGGCATGCCTTCCCCACTGAAGAAAACAATAGTAATTTCTATTCATCAGTACTTTCATTTGTTATTATTGCTCTCTCTCTCTCTCTCTCTCTCTCTCTCTCTCTCTCTCTCGCGTGCGCACGTCATTGCACGAACATTATATGCTATTTGTTTGCGCGCGCGCGTCATTGCAAGGACATTATAAGCTATTTGTTTGTAGTCATATAGTAAGTAAATACACACGCGATAAGTACCTATACCTGCGATAACCTTCTGTGACCTTAGTAAGACTTCCGAGGAACTTGAAGATTTATCAACCTACATGTAAATACATATGTCCAACATTATCAACATCCCTCGCCGAGTTCACTTTTTGTACTCCCTCGAAAGTTTAAAGTACATGTACAACATTAAATGTATAAAACATAAACTGAGAGGTACATCCGGAAGACTTTCATATGCCAAGACAATTATGAAAAGACATACTTATCATAACCTGTTGGTAGCCAGTGGTAAAAATCTTTTGCTAATTTCAGAATATTTCAAGTATTAATTACATATCCTCTAAATTTCCTTTGATAGTTTTGTTCAAAATTACAGAAAGATAAATCCACTTGATTTTTCACTCTCATTTGTTTTCATGGATTTATACTTTCTGTTTTATATGGTCGCACATTGCAAGATTGCGCATTAATAAAGAGTTCCAGTCCGAGCTCTCAGCTGACACTTTGAAACCTAAGCTTTGGGATAAGGAGCAGGAGCGAATGAGACGATAAAATAAATCCTTTGAGTAGCATCTGTTAGAAAACCTT